GAGCAGCTTACACTGGCAGACTGGTACTGGGCAGCTTACACTGACAGCCTGGTACAGGGCAGCTTACACTGACAGTCTGGTAAAGAGCAGTTTACACTGGCAGCATGGTACAGGGTAGTTAACACTGGCAGCCTGGCACAGGGTAATTTACATTGGCAATTACCATTAGATTAAAATCCTTGCACAGCGCAAAGCATACGAACATCCTGATACAAATCCATTTCGACTGGCACAGCCCAGCTTTCCTGGTGCAGCCCAGTTTAGATTGACAGCTTAGGACAGGACACCTTAGACGGCAGCTTGGCAATGGCAGTCTGGTACAGTACAGTTTAGGTAGACACCCTGGTATAGCGCAACGTAGACGACTGACAGTCTGATTCAGCACAATCTATAGTGACAGACTGGCAGCCTGGTATAGGGTGTCTATGCTGGCAGCCTGGCACAATTCAACTTAGACTGGCTGCCTTGTATAGTTCTATGTAGACTGGCAGCCTGGCACAGTCCAATTTAGACAGGCAGCTTGTCATAGTTCAATATAGACTGGCAACTTAATACAGGGAACTGAAACTGGCATCCTGGTACAGTTAAATTTAACATGACAGCCTGGCGCTTTTAAATTAAACTGGCAGCCGGGCACATTGCAACTTCGACTGGCAGCCTGGAACAATTCAACTTAGACTGGCAGCTTGGTACAGTTCAATTTAGACTGGTAGGCTGGCACATTACAATTTAGTCTGGCAGCCTGGTACAGTTCAATTTAAACTGGCAGCCTGGCACAGTTCAATTTAGACTGGTAGACTGGTACGGTTCAATTTATACTGGTAGGCTGGTACATTTCAGCTTAGACTGCCAGCCTGACAGAGTTCAATTTAGACTGGCAGCCTGGCACAGTTTGATTTAGACTGGTAGGCTGGTACATTTCAGTTTAGACTGCCAGACTTGCACAGTTCAATTTAGACTGGCAACCTGGCACAGTTCGGTTTAGACTGGTAAGCTGGTACATTTCAGTTTAGACAGCCAGCTTGGCACAGTTCAATTTAGACTGGTAGGCTGGCACATTACAATTTAGTCTGGCAGCCTGGTACAGTTCAATTTAAACTGGCAGCCTGACAGAGTTCAATTTAGACTGGCAGCCTGGCACAGTTTGATTTAGACTGGTAGGCTGGTACATTTCAGTTTAGACTGCCAGACTTGCACAGTTCAATTTAGACTGGCAACCTGGCACAGTTCGGTTTAGACTGGTAAGCTGGTACATTTCAGTTTAGACAGCCAGCTTGGCACAGTTCGATTTAGACTGGTAGGCTGGTACATTTAAGTTTAGACTAGGAGCCTGGCATAGGGCGTTTAAACTGGCAGTCTCATGAAGTGCCAGCCTCCTTAAACCCATCGCAGAACTCGGAATAAAATCTACTTCTTATAATAATAAATGGCATTTAATAAACAATAATATTTGCGCAAAACAATCATCGAACCGTTAGTGAATACGCGTATATACAGACATCCTTCACACAATACCAGCAATTGTGAAGGTTATATTTACATGCATCTATCGAGATAATAATAGCCAATTATTTAACCAGCAGGGGTATTTATGGACTGCATTAACAGGATAATGGGAAATAATTTAACCAGAAAGGCTGTGTGTATATATATATATATACACATATAGCGAAATCATCATAATAGGAGTTAACCAAAAACATATATATAAATATATAAACAAAATATTAATACAATGCTGTTAATCAGGGAGAATATTGTTATCTTATGCCCAGAGAAACAATCTGTCAGAAAGGTTTTATTTCTAATTCTACATATACATTGTATTCACACAAAGAAACGCATATAACAAGTTTATATCCAGGAGAGTTATAATGTCAGGTATTTTAGATAATATTTTATAACAAAACAATATAAACACAAATACTGTCTAATTGTATTATGAGCCGTATAAAATATATGGATTTATTTATCGATATAATACAAACAAGGAAGTATATTTATTTAGATATAAGGAGAAAATAATATAATAATAATAATAATAATTAATAGCGATAGTAATAATATGGAAAGATTATACATAAAAATAGACAGTAATATTTAACAGGCAGAATATATACAGGTTTTGAAATAATATATTATAATATGTCATAATATAATATGAGATAATATCATATAATACAATATAATATAATATATTAAATACAATTAATGATCCCCAGGTGTGTCCCGCAGTTTACATTATATATTATTTTATGAGACTGACGTCAAATTACAAAGTTTCATTTTTATTAATTTTTTTTTATAATTGGAGACTTATTACACTTTTGCGTTTTTCAATATTTATTTTGCTAGTATTGCAGTATATGTTTACATTTGGGACCACTATTCTAGATATATACTGACACTATGTTAACTTTAAAAAAAAAAAAAAAACAGAATAAAACTACAAAACAGGAATGTATTCAATTAATTCTAAAACCAGACTAATAGTAGTTCTACAATATCACATGAATTATTTGAAGCTTTTAAAATATCTGTATTGCATATACAGACATCGTGTAGCTATGTATACTATATACCATGTGTATATGAACAGGTTTAGATTTTGAAACGTATAGTTTAGGGTGGGGGGGGGGGGAGTTTATTTCGTTGGCCTTTTTGTTGGGCACGGTGCCCATTCACCAATAAAAATCTCTTATTATACAGCAGGTACTAAAGACCTGGGCTGTATAACATACCATTGTGAATCCGATACTTGTAAAAGGTGCCAATTAAAGTATTAACTTAGATGCATCTGCTGCTCAGTTCGTGCATTTAGCCCCTTCCTTTGTTTGCCATTGCAAGGACAAACAAAAAAAGAAATTAAAAGAAATCAGAAAAAAGGGGAAAAAAGTAAAAAAAAATGTAGAATGAAATAAAAAAAAAAAAGAAAAAGAAAAAAGGCTAAAAATAAAATAGCGTTTGTACTGTTAAGAAATCCACATTTTTTTCAGATTCATTGAAGAGCTGGGATGTTCTGAATTATCATTTTACCTTTTCATTCTCTCTCTATCACCTGGGAATCCAACTTTTACTAAAGCTACAGATTGGAAAAATCTTGACATTTTGCTTCTACCAAGAGGGTGCCCTGTTTGATCACCAGCTACAGCTAAGGTATAACTGGCATAAATAGACAGGACAGTAATGTGTTATTGTCACACAATAAGGGAGACAGACTGGCAAGCCAACACCTTCATTTCTTAGAAAGGTCCTGGCCTGTGATAGTAATGGAAACATGTATCTAAGAATATTTAAGGATAAAACAATCAGAGATCACAGGCAATCATTTTCTTAGATAAGTGAGATAAAGAGCGATGTTGTTATGGTGGAGTCTGTGAATGTGCTGGGGAATTGGTGTACAGTGTATGGAACAAATAAGTGCACAAATGCCAAGGAAATACCATAACTGCGCACAGATACCCATTAGATGGCTCAGAATATTGTTGCACAATTAATGCTTTTAATGGTTAATGGCCAAGTGCATAGTATATTCGCCCAAGGATTACTGCTCAGTGCGTGCAACTAATGCACAATGCACAAATGGCCAATACATTAGCCTTATTACGGTTGTACAACTGCCCAGCGTATAATTACTGCAAGTGTGCTTGCTGGCTGTGATCAACAATTATTGCATAAAATGCCGAACAAATGTGTCTTCTGGTTTGAGTTAAATACTCAGTAAATTTACTAAAAGATTGGTGTGAGTGCTTTTAAGGATTCATGTGCAAAATGTCAGTAAATGTTCCATTGGTCGGTAATCATTGTACTAAAAAATGTGTGCAACAAAATGTCCAGTGACTAGAATGATGTTTAGAACATGCAATGTTAGTGCGGAATTCTGTAGCTGAGTTGGAGAGCTGGGGTCTGGGTAGGGGGCTATGAGATGGGCTAGCAGGCAGCTCTCCCTGATTCTCTCGATACATCAGACTTTAACAAAGAGCTTTTTTTGTGGTTTCTGCAGAAAGAGATCTGTGAGCTCCTGGTTTTGAATGAAACTTTGCTGCCATGAGGTACAAAGCGTTAAACAAGAGGCAGCTGCTTTGTCTGACACAGGGCTGCACTCTGCTCACTTAATTGGGGCAGGCAAACCCAGCCACCAAAATCCTGCAATTATTCAATCAATGGCCACAAAATGACTGTGGGAGAGACATCTCCACTTTAAAAATGTACTAATATTATGAGAGAGAGAGAGAGAGAGAGAGAGAGAGAGAGAGAGAGAGAGAGAGAGAGAGAGAGAGAGAGAGAGAGAGAGAGAGAGAGTGTGTGTGTGTGTGTGTGTGTGTGTGTGTGTGTGTGTGTGTGTGTGTGTGTGTGTGTGTGTGTGTGTGTGTGTGTGTGTGTGTGTGTGTGTGTGTGTGTGTGTGTGTGTGTGTGTGTGTGTGTGTGTGTGTGTGTGTGTGTGTGTGTGTGTGTGTGTGTGTGTGTGTGTGTGTGTGTGTGGTTTTTTTGCATTATTTTTAATCATTGTTGAATTATAATCACCCTTAGATGATGTGGGCAATAGGATTAAAAAAATAAAACGAACTACTAAAAATTATTATAGAAAAATATGCACACAGAAAATAAACACTTGTATGGATAACTTGTTCGTTTGGTAAATACAGAGTAAAGCTTGACTTCAAATAAGCAGCATCTCCCTCATTTAGCCCTGTGCTGAGGGTTCTAAATGATGTCATGAAAAAAGACCCCCCCCCCCCAAAAAAAAAAAAAACAGCCAATTGATCTGAGAACAGTGCTGGTCCATGACTGGGTATGAAACAGATTGAGTTTACAGAATAAGCCTCCTCCCTCTCTGAATGGGGAGGAGGGAAGGGGGGCACCCTTAATCTCCAATAAAAGTACTGCTTTACTGAAAGAAGAGGAAAAAAACTACTTTTTTTTTTCCTGTGGACTGTTGGAAACGAATTGAGCAATTAACTAGTTTACCTTCTCCTCTTGGAAAATAACGATTGGCGAGGTTTTTGCTGCGCTATTGACACAACACTTCCCATTGAGGAGCCATGGCAGCAATAAGTGATTGCCCTGGTGTCACTTGTGCTTGGCAATAAATTGGCATCTGTCCACTGGACTGTTAATCATGGTTCTGTACAGCACCAAATAATGATTATGAAGAAGATTATGACTTTTCAACTCCTTACAAATCAGTGACAAGAGGCGGATTAAGAAAAGGTGGTGTCTTGTAAGGAAGACACCTCATTCCCCGGCCAAGAACAATCAAAGACATGGACAATAGTCTACTACACAGAACAACCAAAACAGTCAGAGAACACCTTCCCAGCAGAGCCAACATGATCAGCAGTACCAAGCCACTTGCCTTTTCCATAGAAAGGATAATGTCCAGGACTCCAGAACCTAAAGCTCTCTCTGTGCCAAGTTTGTTGCAGGGTTGTCAGCCAAAAGGTGACCACAGGCAAGCCCTTCACATCAATTCTTCATCCATCCCCTGCATGATTCCCTTTGTGCCAGTTGCATATGACCACTGTCCCAAAATTGGACTCACCAGCTCTGAGCTGAGGAAGACCCAACTTGAATCGTCCACCGCTTTTAGCTGCAACGAACTTCTGAATTGTGCTCTGGCTTTCAAAGGAGATCTTGCCAGAGACGCCTTACCTGTCCAGCAATACAAGCTGGTGAGACCACGAGTGGTGAACCATTCATCGTTCCATGCCATGGGGGCAGCTTTATGTTATTTTAACCGAGCAGATGGACCATGCCACCCTTCAGCTAGCATCAACATCCACCCAGTTGCCTCTTATTTTCTGGGCTCCCCACTGCACCAACCTCAGAAGACCTACCTGGCAGAGAGGAACAAGCTGGTTGTGCCATCTGTGGAGAAGTATTCTTCAGGGATGACTTTCAAAGACCTTTCACAAGCCCAGTTTCAGCACTATATGAAAGAAAGCGCCCAGGCACTATCAGATAAGATTGCCTTCAAAAACTCAGCCAAATTCAGCAGCAATGCTTCCCCCAACAGCAAACCCAAAGTCTTCACCTGTGAAGTTTGTGGCAAGGTAAGTCATCAAAAGAATGTCCCACTCCCACCCCAGCTGTGTCCCTTATTTGCAGCATTGCCATAATAAATATGTATCTCTCTTCTTTGTCAAGGTGTTTAATGCACATTACAATCTGACCAGACACATGCCAGTCCACACGGGGGCCAGACCGTTTGTGTGCAAGATTTGTGGCAAAGGATTCAGACAAGCAAGCACCCTATGTAGGCATAAAATCATCCACACACAGGTACAGACAGACAATGTGTCAATGTAAACTGTAACTGTATATTGATTGATGTATATTATACTCTGTGTGTATAGCTAGGGCAGATATGGTATGATAAATATTTAGATTTAGATATTATATGGATAGTATAGATAATAATTAATGAACATATAAACTACAAATAGATAAATAGAAGTCATATAATGCACAGGTAGATACACACAGGGCTGTTTACTTAAATTAGAATGTGGGAAGTGAAAATTAATTTAACATTTAAGGCTAAAGTAACCGAAATTGAAGCAAAGCTGACTCCAGTTGGGATACTTTGGACTTCAATTTTAAATTCATTTTGTATTCCCGACAATTTTAACGTTAATGAATAGCCCTGTTATATATCGTATGTAATATAGTTATGTGTATACGTAAATATTGGAGAAAGAGAGAGAGAATACCTGTGATTACGTATATAAGACTTTAAAATGGTTGCATTCAACAAACGGGATTTGATAAAATAACAGGTAAATTAAGCATTAACCCATGTTCTATATATTTTCTATAATTTTTTTCCCCATAGTTATAAATTGTCACACATGGCTGAGAAGTTTTAGAAAGAGTTTTGTAATAAGATAACTGTTATCACACAATGCGATATATTATTATTAGTAGTAGTATAATAATAATAATAATAATAATAATAATAGTATGTGTATATATATAAAATTCCTAAACCTGTTCTCTTTATTTTTACCAGGAAAAGCCCCATAAATGCAACCAGTGCGGCAAAGCCTTTAACAGGAGTTCCACCCTGAACACCCACACCCGAATCCACGCGGGATACAAGCCCTTTGTGTGTGAATTCTGCGGGAAGGGTTTCCATCAGAAAGGTAAATGTACCCCCATTCCATTAGAACCCTTCATGTAGTACCCTCATTTAGAATCATCATTTAGAATAATTATTTATATCAATCATTTAGAATAATCATGTATATCAATCATTTATATCCCTCATTTATATCAATCATTTAGAATCATTATTTAGAACCCTCATTTAGAATCATCATTTATTTCAATCGTTTAGAATCATAATTTAGAACCCTCAGTTAGAATCATTATTAAGAATCATCATTTAGAATCCTTATTTAGAATCATTATTTAGAATCTTTATTTATATCAATCATTTAGAATTATCATTATTTAGAACCCTCATTTAGAATCATTATTTAGAACCCTCATTTAGAATCATTATTTAGAACCCTCATTTAGAACCTTCATGAAATATTTGGGCATTGAGAACCTGTAGACTGCCCAGACTGTGCTACAGGGTCATTAAACTCTACATTTCCATCTGACATCTAGAATTGATTGGCTACATATTTTTTTTTTATTATGCACAATGTGTCTTTACAAAGATTCTGCATTGCTTAGTGTGCTATTAAACTATCCCTTTAGATCCACAGAGGGGAACTGAGAGGGTAGAGACCCAGACTGTGAAATTGCAGTGTAGATATTGCAAGATAAGTGGAGCATTTTAGGTGGAAATGATGACTTGTGCCTGATGACACCCTTTTCTTGTTCCAGGTAATTACAAGAACCACAAACTGACTCACAGCGGGGAGAAGCAGTTCAAGTGTAATATATGTAACAAGGCTTTTCACCAAGTCTACAATCTGACCTTCCATATGCACACCCACAATGACAAGAAGCCCTTCACCTGCCCCACCTGTGGCAAAGGATTCTGCAGGAACTTTGACCTGAAGAAACATGTGCGCAAGTTGCATGACAGCAATACAGGAGGTCCACCTGGGTCTAGTCCTGCTGAGCAGGAAGAACTGCTTCTACAGACCAGGAGCCAACCCAAGAGAAAGCAGAGTCCAGAACTTCAAAAAGGCACCTATTGATAGCCTTCCTGGGGCCACATAATGGACTTTTATCATGTACCTTAAGGTGCAAATTTCCAGAATCCAAGCAGGGTTGAATCAGACTAGGTCTGCTGGACAACCAGATGGAGAGGTTGGTCTGGGCTGGAGAGGAGGACCTCGAGATGGAGGTCTTTCTGTTGGGTGCTATGGATTGGGAAGTCACAAGTGCTTTCTCTGTCCCTCTACTCGGAATTCGTGCTCTTCTGAGGTTTTGCATGCACCTATAAAATATTGTGAGAGTATTATGCTCTACTTGTTCATTGACCGTTTGCTATTGAATTTTTATTTTTATTTTATTTATTTTTTTGGTGTGTTTTTTATTTTATTTTATTTTTCAAAAATGTTTTTTTTTTTTTGTAAAGTTCTTATATAGCTGCCATCACAGCTTTACAGAGGTGAAAAAGATTGATGCTGTATATCTGACGTATTTATTAGGGTATGTATTATCCTTATTTAATGCTGCACCACTTTAATAATTATATTTAATGTAAATATATAAATCAGAGTATATTTCCTTTTGTGTTTTGTCCATGGATGTCACATATGTTGATTTTTCTTTTCCTTGTTATTTTTTTCTTGAGGGTCCAGAACATATCCCTATATTGACAGAAGCCTTCTAAGAAATCTGTATAATTTGGAGTTTTATTCTTGCACGTTAAAAAAAATAATAAATGGATTGATTATTGTGTTAGCACATTTCCTTTTATTTAAAGAAAATTCTGGCTGTAAATTTCAATTGGAAAATCCTCATGGATGGATTCAGTGCAACAGCACATCAAACACTAGTTACAATGTCAATGATTTCAAACATATAATTATACACTTAAAAAATCAAGTCTGTTAGATGGGTCAAAATAAATTCATAATTTGATCATTGGCAAAATTGTCTTCTTTGCAATCTGTTCCACATTGACACCATTGCTTTGGAGATTCATGGCTTCTCATGCCAAAACATTCTGAAACAACTGTTAAAGACATTTAATTAAGAAGGGTAATTAGCAGTGATTTACCCAAGACTGCTTATTATAAAGAGTACTTGTCTAAACACTGGGGTTGAAAAAAAAACCCAACTGCTAATGGGTTTAAGCACAGCCTTCTACATCATACTTAGTAAATCTTAAAAAAGCAATTAGGAACCTTTAAAATCTAAATGTTGAATGACATTATTAGCAGATTCTAGTAGGGCACTGTGTCACATAGACATACCATTGGGCACTAGAATATCTGATAGGTTAGCATTAAAAAATAAATTCTTATCAGGATTTATTTTATATCTTCCACCTATTTCTATTGACTTGAAAATTGCCTAAATTAGAATTAAACACAATGGGGCAAATTGGTAAATAAATATAAAAGGCTTAATTGATGATTAAAAGCTTACAATTTGTAAATACATTTATATACCTGACATGCAAATACATATTGTGCTTTTGTAACTAAGGGTACAATGTTTACTGACAAACCCTAAACCGAATTAAACTAATTTTATCATCACAATGTGTATAGTTAGACATTATTTACTGGAAAAACCGTGTGGATAAAAGATGAAATGATCATAGTAAAGGACAAACCGCTAGTTTAGAATAAACCTTCCTGTACAGTAAAGCGGTGTATTCTCCCAGACCTGATTAAATGATGCGTTAAGATTTGGCTAAATGTCTCAATAAGGAGGTTATAGCCTGTATTTTAGGTAACTGTGTCCAAAAATCACAGACAGAATAGCAGCATGTACTATTATTTCACATTCCGTTATTTAAATAGACGCCATGAAATTACTAATTCTAAAACCAAAATACACATTTATTTTATTTGTATAATAATTTGTCATATATATATATTTATAGAAGAAAGATGTATATAGAGATTACAAAATAGACTAAATTTGTAGCTAGCGCATGTAGATAGACTGACAGATAAATCTATTTTTAATTTCTTGAATTAATTCTATTTTTTTATTATAACTTTTTACATTTTTGCTGCGACCCATGTACTTTGTTCTGAAGATATAAAATCTCGTTATTTTTTATTTATTTTTTTAATTATATTTGGATTGTGAAATTTTTTACACAATAGAAAAGAAAATCAGTTTCTAAGAATCCGGTTTATACAATGGTGATAATGTAATCTTTTCGTTTTTTTTTTGTTTTTTTTATTTTATCCTCAAAATCAAAACTGACAAAACTTAACTTCTCGTCAACAAAGCGCCTGGACATGCTTTATGTTACAATGTTTTACAAATAATTCGTTAATTCCAAAAATCTACAGGTTTAATTCGACAGATCCAAATAAAAGCCAATTTTTCTTATTTAATGAAACAATGAATTTGAATAAGGGAATCCTAGGGGGGTCCTAATTGTAGTATCAGTCTGAGTTATTAAAGACAATATTCAGCGTGTGAAACAAAAAAGAACACAATGTAAATATAAAGTTAAATAATACCACATTTATTTTTCGTTCTAGTAGTAAATTAGTGCAGTGACTCAGATGCTAAGAAATAGAGAATTTTAATATCTTGATTTATAATTTTATTGGATTAACTATATTTTATTAAAAACCTTACCAGTGTTTTTTTAAATATATATACATTAAATAAATAAATAAATATACATTTTATATCAATTCTAGTATATACAATATATCTACTTATAACACCTGCCAAAACTTTGTTACTCCAAAATGTTGTTATTCCAATAAAAAAAAAAAGTCAATTTATTGTGTACAGCCTCATCCGACAAACACATACAAATAGACAAAGCTCTATTTTAATGCCAAGTTCCAAGTTCCTTTGGGACTAGTCCACTCAGTGTATCTATGTTCTCTGCACTGCATTTAGCATGCTGCTCTAAAACTGCTCTTGATACACATTTCCCTGAGTGTATAAACAGGGTTACATGTTCAGAATGAGCTCCCTGACAGCAAACCTGTATCTCTCTCTCCCTGGTGTCATAATCTTCTACTCCTATGAAGCTCAGGCAGCAACAGAGACTCTCATGTTTGATGGTTAATGCTGAGTGTAGTGAAATAATGTGCTGATTCTGATAGATTTAAAGGTTAAAGCGTTTATTTAGACTTTCCTCTACGCTGTGCTGTACAATAATACACGACTAGGATCAAATTTGCATTAATATTTATTTCAAAAAGGAAAATGAAAGAAAACAATGTATTCAAAATAATAGTTTCTCTATAATGTTGCTATTATTATTATTATTATTATTATAACAATATACAATATAATGTTAAAATATGCTGCTATCTGCAGATTTGGAATCCAATCCTAAAATATGTACAAACAGACACAGAAAAGCCAGAAACAAATAAAAACGTGTAAAATAGAAAAAGCGAGAAAGCTAGTTTTTGGAGGATGTCCTGATAGCCATATTTATGAAAATGTTCCAGCCATCTCAGTGCTAACAGATAGCTAATTGAATGGAATGTTTATGGTAAAGTGCAATATTTTTTGGCAGCTATTATTGGAAGAGAGAAGGAGAGAATGCATTTATTTTTTTTGGTGTCTGATTAAACAGAGAGCAGTTGGTTAGCATGTATCCAGCAGTGAAAGTGTTAAAAAGCAGGTTGTTCAGCACAGTGGAACAGGAGGGCTCAGCAGACAGGGACAAAGGGTGGAATATGATCACACATGAAGTGAAGACAAAAAAGGGATCGTTGCTAATTGGCAATTAATGATGAAAGACTCACTCCCCTTACTTAAGTTTTGCTTCAAACTGCAACAGCTATTAATAGGGGTTTTCATTCTCTGACAATTGTCCTTTTTGTGTTCCCCACCTGTTCTTAAAAGCACAGCTGGATTCGACTATTTTTCTGCAAGGATAACCTGTACCTACTGTATGTAATCACTCCTGTGCATAGCTTAATTGGTGTGGCTCAAATCACAGGAGTGTGCTATGGACCTATTGTGTGTACCCCAGAGGATCCATGGTGTGTACTTATACTGAGTAATTACAGGGACACGTGTCATCTATCTATCTATCTATCTATCTATCTATCTATCTATCGATGTGTCTATTATCTATCTATCGACCTATCTATCTATCGATCTATCTATCTATCTATCTATCTATCTATCTATCTATCTACCTATCTATCGATCTTTCTATCTATCTATCTATCGATCTTTCTATCTAGCTATCTATCTCTCTGTCTGTCTGTCTGTCTGTCTCTCTATCTATCTATTGATGTGTCTATTATCTATCTATCTATCGATCTTTCTATCTATCTATCTATCTATCTATCTATCGATCTTTCTATCTATCTATCTATCGATCTTTCTATCTAGTTATCTATCTCTCTGTCTGTCTGTCTCTCTATCTATCTATTGATGTGTCTATTATCTATCTATCTATCTATCTATCTCTTTAGCTATCTATCTATCTATCTATCTATCTATCTATCTATCTATCTATCTATCTATCTATCTATCTATCTATCATCTATCTCTTTAGCTATCTATCTATCTCTTTAGCTATCTATCTATCTATCTATCTATCTATCTATCTATCTATCTATCTATCTATCTATCTATCATCTATCTCTTTAGCTATCTATCTATCTGTCTGTCTTTCTGTCTCTCTATCTATCTATCTATCTATCTATCTATCTATCTATCTATCTATCTATCTATCTATCTCTCTCTTTCTCTATCTATCTATCTGTCTGTCTGTCTATCTATCTATCTATCTATCTATCTATCTATCTATCTCTCTCTATCTCTCTATCTATCTATCATCTATTATTTACCGTTTTATCCACATAATTCGTTCATTCTTCTCTCTCTCTCTCTCTCTCTCTCTCTCTCTCTCTCTCTCTCACAATTCCATATTTAAATGATATATTTCAGACGCTATCGTTTTCGATTAATTGCTAAAAGCCCCCTTCTCCTGTTCGGAAACATATTGGCATTCAGATAGCGATATGAGACATATCTCTGGTATCTCCTCTCCTAATGACATGACACATAATGTGGCTGTTTAACCCCAGCTATCATTAAACACTAAACTATGGGATATGATAATACATTTACATCTCTTTCTCCCCTATCCTGCCTACATCATATTGACAAGTGCCCTTGACATGAATGAGCACAATTAGATGCTAAAGGTGCCATTAAGTTTTTAAAGAATAG